GAATTCCGCAGTACTTGCAAATATGTTTGGATGTCAGGCAACAACAACAATGAAACAAATTATAGTTATCTGTCAAAGGTTTCTCTTCATTGTTACAATCTGAAGGACACCGGACACCTTTCTGTACACCAGAATGGGCATGTTCATTTCATGAGAGAGCATGACATGATGGAAAGAGCATAGTGTCCAGTGATCTCAGGAAAATTATTAAACCTTCTTAAATAGCAGTTACCTAGTTTAAAATAAGGAAAATACTTTGCAGGGCTATTGTATTTTTAAAATGAGATGATGTGTATTAAGTGCTTATTCGCCTGATGCCTGGCAGTTAGACACATTCGGTATATGAACAGTCAGTGGAGCACAGTGTATAATTATGGCTCAAGTTTCCCTTGTTAATCTTGGCTCACTTCCTTCCACTGTGGAAAACGCATCATAAATTATTATTTATGCTCACTGTTCTTAAATATATGTTGTGCTTTCTACCTTCTTTCTTCTCACATGCCCCCTCCTCTTTTTTCCATCTTTTATATATGGCTGTGTTCCAATCCTTGTTTCTTCTCAGTAAAAAGTAGTGGTTATTTTTCCTTTATGCCATCCATTTTGGCACTTAGAATTTTATAGTAGTTTTCTTTGTGTTATGCTGACTTTGATAAAGTAGTCTACCTAGAGGGCAAAGGGGACTGACTATTCTTGAGGAAAAGGAAGTTTTGTAGAAGGAACATTGTTCTTAGAGTCAGAAATTCTTGGTTCCAGCCCAGATCCAGCTATTGCTTCTTGTGTGACCTTGGGCAAGATTCTGAATGTGTTCTTTTTAAGTAAAGTTGAAATAATACTATGGGATTTTGGTGAAGATCAGATGAGATGTGTGTATGAAAGACAGCGTTGTGTAAGCTGTATGCAGTATGATTGTTTTGTATGTGTCTTGAACCTTATGTCATGCTTTAACACATACAAAGGCTTAATTTGTTAAGAATAATGGTGGATTTAAACAGTTTTTTCAGATTATCCTGGAATCAAAAGACATGTAATTTTTTTATACATTTAAAAAATTATAATTGATAGATTGTGATGAAAATATTATAGTTATCCTTTGATTTTTCTCAAGTGTAATTTAGTATTCAGTGATTATTCTTGATTCCAATAAAATGTTCAATTTTATTTTGGTCTAGTAAAATTTATTAGATTTCAGATTAATTCTTTTTATTCAGTTAAATAAAGAATTTATCTCCTTGCTTAATCATAACTGATGATCTCTCTTTCAGACTTTGCCCTAGAAACTAATCCTAAAGAATAATTTGAGGGATTTCTGTTCAAAAGTATATAAAATGCAAATAAGCCCAGTTGGTAACTTAAAAAAAAAATCCTTAGGAAAGAGGGAGAAAATATATAGAGATTTTAAAATGATATTTGTTCTTCTAAATGGTCCATCTTTCATCCCTTCAATAACATGAAATGGTGTTTAAGTATGTGCTATGTGTGAATTGGTCCTGGGTGCAAGGTTGGGGCTCACTTAGGAGACCTGTGCCTCAATTCTTTGCAGTAAAAGAAAATTTTCTCTAAACAGAGTTTCACTACTAAACTTGGATGCAAAACATTTTTAAGGAGAGTCTATTAGAATTTGACAAAACCAAGTTTTATTAAGCAACTTTTTTTTTAAACCTTGTAATTAGATGCTAGTTTCATTTTCTAGATGTATGTTTTAATCTCCTTTCCTTTTGTCTATTACAAAAATAAGTTGAACACCCATATATAAAGTTTATAGGTTCAGTTTTTTTTTTTAGAAATGAAGATTAGATGACTAATTTTTTTATGTTATTAAGGTATAGGTAATTAGGATTGTTGCAGAGAATGAGAAAATACTTTCTCCACAGACTAGGAGAAATATTTGCAAATGGCATACTGATAAAGAATGAATATCCAAAATATGCAAAGAACCCTTTAATATTCAACAATGAGAAGATGAATAACCTCATAAAAAATGACTACAAGACCTGAATATACACCTCACTGAAGAAGACAGTGCCTTAACCAACTGGGGCTGCTATAACACATAGACTGGGTAGCTTAAACAGCACACTTTGATTTCTCATAATTCTAGAGGCTTGAAAGTTGGAGATTCAAGCTTCCAGTTCATAGTGAGGGACCTTTTGCTGGCTTGTAGATGGCTATTTTCTTGCTGTGTCCTCACATGATAGAGATTGAGAGAGATCTGGTTTTTCTTCCTACTCTTAAGAATACCATCATGGGGTCTCCACCGTCCTGACTTCATCTAAATCTGATTACATCCCAAAGAACCTACTTCTAAATATCATCACACTGGGGGTTAGGGTTTCAACATAAGAATTTGGGGGGAACATAAACATTCAGTGTATAACTTATATGGCAAATAAGCATATAAAAGATGCTCATTGTCATAGTATCATTAGGGAATTACAAATTAAAATAGTTATGAGATACCACTATATACCTAGTAGAGTGATAAAAATCTAAAACACTTGACAACGCCAAATGCTGGTGAGAATGTGTAAACAACAAGAACTACATTTATTGATGGTGAGAATGCAAAATGGTATAGCCCCTTTGGAAGACAGTTTGACAGTTTGTTACAAAAGAAACCTCTTATCATGTAATCCAGTAATTGTGTTGAAAACTTAGATCTACACAAAACCCTACACATGGATGTTTATAGCAACTTTATTCATAATTGCTATAACTTGGAAGCAGCCAAGATGTAGGGTAGGTGAATGGATTAAGTAAACTGTGGTTCATCTAGATGGTGGAGTATTATTCAGTGTTAAAAAGAAATGAGCAATAAACCCATGAAAAGACCTAGAACCCTTAGTGCATATCAGTAAGTGAAGGAAGCCCATCTGAAGAGGCTGCATACTCTGTGATTCCAACTATATGACATTCTGGGAAAGGCATAACTATGTGGCCTGTAAAAAAGATCAGTCATTGACAGGAGTTAGCAGGGAGAGAGGGAAGAGGATTTTTAGCATACAGGTGATTTTTAGGGCAGGGGAGCTACTCTGTATGATTTTAAAGTGGTAGATATGTATCATTATTACATTCGCCAAAACCCATAGAATATGTAGTACGAAAGTGAACCCTAATGTAAACTGTAGATGTTAGGTGCTGGGTGTGTAGGTGTAGGTTCATTGAGTATAACAAACATATCACTGTGGTATGAGATGTTGATGGTAGGGGAAGTTGTGTGTGGGGGGGCAGGGAGTATATGGGAACTCTGTACTTTCTGTTCAATTTTGTTATGATCCTAAAACTATAAAAAATAAAGCCTATTTACAAAATTTCATGCTCATTACATGAAATTTAGCTATCAGGCAAGTCTTCTGACATCACCCCAGTAGACTATAATTCAGTTCTCATAGCAACTGCCCCGTGTCAGACTCCACAGGTATAAGGGCATAGTCCCCAATAAGACAGCCCCTGCTTCTGTCACTAACTGCAAATAGAGCCCCCTGGCCACTCACACTTCTTTCCAGCTGGCTTCAAATCCAGGGAGTTTGTTCCCGAGACCCTCCGTGCTGTCTCCCTATGAGCCTGGCTTCATTTCCCACTCTGGTCGCAAGTTTGGGGATTTCCAGGTCATCCACCCTTCTGATCAACTGGCTGTGTGTTCAGCGGGGTTCTGGAAGAGACATTTGGGGTGAGGTTCAGGATATTCCTAAACACAGAGCTTTCATGCCATTTCCTCGTATACTCAGAGCACATCACCTTGACCAATCAGAAGGCTCTCTTTCATTTCACTGTTCAGTTTTTATTGGAACTTCATGATTTAACATTGGCTAACTGGTTGAATTAAATTTCCAGCCCCACACTGCTCCCCACAGGTTGGACTGGGCCTGAGCCCTCAATCATACTGTTAGTCTTTCTGGTGACCCGGTAAGGAGCTGTCTTTCTGAGCCATCTCATCAACATAAACTCTGGTGGGAGTCACCTAGGAAATTCTGAGGATAAAAAGCTTCCTGCCAGGGGCGGTGCCTGTGGCTGAAAGGGTAGGGCACCTGCTCCATATGCTGGAGGTGGTGGGTTCAAACCCAGCCCCACCAAAAAAAACAAAACAAAAAAAAGCTTCCTGCCAGGAAACCAAGACAAATTCAATGTTAGGTTTTTGAAAAAAACAGTAGCCCTTTTTTGCTTTATTATTTGAAAGTCTACCATGGAAAACTGAGGTGATTGAAAAGTATTTAAGATTGAAAGTTTTTTTTAAATTTCAGATTAATATGAGAGTGCAGAAGATTAGGTTACATTGTTTGCATTTGTCAGGCAAAGTGGAAGTTGTAGTTGAACCCTTCACCCAGTGGGTGTATTGTAGACCCCTGTGTTGTGCCCCCCCCCCATCTCTTTCCTTCTCCCCTCTACTTGAATTTAATTGTGTTTTTCTTTCATGTGGGCATGTTGTTATTTTTCTATTGATTTCATATTAGTATTGAATGCATTGGCTGCTTGGTTCCATTCCTGTGATACTGTACTAAGTAGAATGTTCTCCAACGCCATTCAAGTAAAGTCTCCATCTTTTGTATGGGTGAATAGTATTCCGTGTATACATATACCACATTTTATTAATCCTTTCATATGTTGATGGGCACCTGGGTTGATTCCACATCTTAAGATTGAAAGATTTAAGAAACAATGCAGATTTATTTATAATTTTAATAGTTCAAACTTTATAGTGATTTAAATCTTCTTCATCCAGTTTTAAATTTTACTTTTATGATTTTATGCATAAATGTATTTCTTTTGGTAAAAAGGAGAGAGGACTTTGCTGGAACGATCAACCAGTAGGACAACAGAGGAAGGACCCTTTCGAGCTTTACTGCCTCACACTGTCTAAATGAACAGATAACCTTAAAACAGTGTTTGTCTGGTTTGGGCTGCTTCATTACTCTTACTTCCTCTTTTAATAGCAAGGTATTTCAGAGTGTTTTAAGGTATCAGGTTTCTCCAAGGAAATGCTTAGTTATATTTTTTTCTTGCAGATTGATTATACTGGAATCGAGCCTTCCAGTCCCTGCCATAAGTGTTTGTCTCCTGATGTGACACCTTGCGTTTGTACCATTAACTTCACACTGGAAGAGTCATTCGAGGTCTGTGTTTCCAAGTGATATATTAGAAAAAAACATGCTTTTAAAATACTGACATTGTACTAAATGTTTTTTACTTGGTATTTTCATGTTGTACAGAAGTCACTTTAATTTGCTGGAATCCATACACTTTTTAGGAAGATCTTTTTCTGTTGACTGTTGCACTTTGTGGTCTGGAAATTCAATATATTTATTTGAGTAATTTAGATAATACATAAACAAAATTGAAGACATTTTTTATCTTTTCACTGGAAAATTTTATAATTGTAAACATAAGTTTATATCAACTTTATATTTGTATTTTTAAAGATAATTCAGTTGTTTTGCATACTTAAAATACTAACGTAAGTTTTACATTAGAAAATAATTTTCCTATCATTTAATTGAATTTTTATAATCTATGAAGAATTATAAAAAATGTAAGCACTTACTAAAATCTTACCTTTTTGATAAATAGTGAGAATGGGCGCACCTTGTGTGTTCGCATTGACCTGCCATTCTTCGTAACTGAGCATATGCTAAAGGACATGAAGATTCAGAATAGGCATGGGAAGGCCATTTTGTCCCCTACCTGAAAATTGTTCTTCAGGGGGCAGAACTGCTATAATAAACACCAACTTTTTAGATTTAAATCTAGTCTTTGCATTTTTTTCTTTTTTCTTTTTTTTTTTTTTTTTTACAAATTCATAACTGTACAGTGATGCATTTATGGGGTACAGTGTACTGATTTGATATACAATGTGAAATTCTTACATTGAACTGATTAACACATCTATCATCTCACTTATTTGTTATTGTAAAACAATTACATCTTTTCTTAATACTGTTCACATTTTTTAAAGGTAGTGAGGACTGTTATAATCGCTGGTAAATGGTTGCCATCTAGTGGTCATAGGTACTATTGCACTGAAATGAAGGCCAGGATGTCACCTTTGAAAAAAACATGGAAACAAATGTGGTAAAAGGCAGAAATTTAATTATTTAACTTTATTCCAGCAGAGATAAAATAAAAATTTAAAGCATCTTTAAAAGTCCATTGTTTTTCTTTTTTTTTTTTTGAGACAGAGCCTCAAGCTGTTCTCTGGGTAGAGTGCCGTGGCATTACAGCTCACAGCAACCTCCAACTCCTGGGCTCAAGCGAGTCTCCTGCCTCCGCTTCCCAAGTAGCTGGGACCACAGGCGCCTGCCACAACGCCCGGCTATTTTTTGGTTGCAGCCGTCATTGTTGTTTGGCGGGTCCGGGCTGGGGATTCGAACCCGCCACCTTAGGTGTACGTGGCTGGCGCCTTAGCCAGTTGACCTATAGGCACTGAGCCAGTCCATTGTTTTTCAATGTGATAGACAAACTCTAAAGATGCAATAAGTTTTGCTATTGTCAAAAAGTGCAGAATTAATGAGATATTTATAGTGATTTAGAAGCTCTGTTAGTCTCCTCCCCCATTTCAAAAACACTTAAATTTCAGAAATTCCTTTCTGTAGAGGTGATCAATCCCAGATTTATTCTCTTGTGAGTTTTGTGTTTCTTCATAAGCCCAAACTTTGAAATGGACTAAAGCCTTTTCAGGGAACTTCACATAGGTTATTTTAACTGAGAATTAATAGAAAGGATCTGTTTTTTGCTTTGCAAATTGAATTTAGTATGTTGAATCTTAAATTGAGATAAATATTTTTTAAAAAAGCATATTCATTGTTTCTGTTTGATATAATTTTGATACTCCTGCCCTCCCTAAAAACGTTTTCATGTAAATATTTTCTTTCTATAGAGTGGGAAATTTTGCATGGTTTGACATTTGAAAATCAAGTTTTAAATAAATTATATCATATGTGAAGTTTGTAAGTCAAACAAAGCATACTTAGAGTGTTAACTGAAATCCTTTTAATTGAGGATAAGAATATAGAAAATAGAAGTAACAACCAGAAAGGAGAGAATAGCTTAACGTTTTTGTCATCTCTAAACATTTTTAGTTATTGAAAATGGCTTCTTAGTATCTAAATAATTGTGTGTATGTAGATGACCTTTTTTTCCTAAGTTATTTTGACATTGGCTCCACCTAATAAATACATTACTTTTTTTGATGATTAGAAGATGACTTATTACCTTACTTTACTGATTACTAGTTTAATTTCTAATATTATATAGTGTCCTATTGAGAAATTATATCCCAGTTCAATTTCAGAATTTACTTGGAAAAATAATGAAAGTTTGACCATTATCTCTCTGAAAAGTTGGTGCTACTTTGATGGAAATTTGAAATTAAAATAGGTCATAATAGGCTAATACATTGAAGATTTTTGTTTTTGTTTTGCTCAGGGTCTTGCTCTATTTCCTGGGCTGAAGTGCAATGGCATCATTATAGCTCACTGCAATCTCTAGCTTGTGTCTCAGCCTCCTGAATAGCTGGTATTATGGCACATGCCACCGTGCCTGGTTAATTTTTCTACTTTCTGTAGAGGTGAGGTCTAGCTCTTGCTTAGGCTAGTCTCTTACTGCTGGGCTCAGGCATTCTTCTGGCCTCGGCATACCAAAGTGCTGGGATTGCCACTGTGGTTGGACTCTAAACATGTCAGGATTACAGGTATGAGTCACTGGCCTGGCACAGTCAGGCAAAAGCAAAAGACTGCTTTTTAATGTAAATAGTACTTCTCTGAAGTAATTAAGGGTGGTTCCAGGGTTTACTCTTGGATTTTGGTAACATACCTTTAATCTTATTTATAGTTGTACCATTTTAGATTGCTAAGTGCTGATAATATTTACCCCACTACCTGTCATGACAAATTGTAAACTAGTAAAGTCTAAATCACATAGCTTTTATGTATACATGAAACAAGTTTGTATGTAACAGTTTTTTTTTTCTCTGTTTCTCTAGGGCAATGTGTTTATGTATTATGGACTGTCTAATTTCTATCAAAACCACCGTCGTTACGTGAAGTCTAGAGATGATAGTCAACTAAATGGAGATCTTAGTGCTTTGACTGTAAGTAAAATGGTGAAATAGGAAAATGTGGTATCTGTGAAATAAGAACCCGTAGTAACTATGCACTTAGAAATGTTAATTTTATAATGTTAGAATGAAATTGAAGTTTACTTATCCTTTATAGTTTGCATAGTGAGGTTTTGCAGTTAAAATATTTTTTTCCTGAATTTGCAAAGATGAAGATGTCCTAGAGCCAGGGGATGCATTTCTGTCTGCTTGCTTCTAGTAATGTCATTGGGATTTTTTTCTTCCTTAATCTGTTTGTAATAGGATTTTGATGAGTCTAACATTCTGAGTGTGTAAATACGTTTTGTTTGGGTTTATTCATGTCTACTGCACTAGGTAAGATAGCTGCTTTTAATTTCTGGAGTTTTGTTTTAAAATTGAACATACCTCTTCATTTTTTAACTTATGGAAACCTGAACAGTAAAGTTCAAAGAGTGGGTTACTGAAAAACTTATCTGAGGATCTATTTGAGAATATTAATGCCACAATTCCCTCGTCTAATATGTCAGTGTTTGCAAGGATGGAGCTCTGTAATATCTGTTTTTAATATGCTACCCCTCTGATATGCAGCCTAGTTTGGGAATCAGTGGACTAGGCAGTCTTACTTTCTTCACTGTTGTTCAACTTTCCATAGTAGCAGTTAGCATTTATGTATTTTATGTTATTGTTGCCAGTGCAAACATTCAGAGCTCGGAGAAATTTAGGATCTCTTAGAATTGGGAATCTGTTAGAGTGCAAGTCAGGACTGTGCTGTGACCAGAGCAGGCCTGGTAAACATATTATATGTAGCTGCCCTAGGTTGTCCTAACTGGTTTTATTGCTAGTTCCTAATGTGTGGGTTTTGAGGGATACACATCTGTTTAAAGATTCCCTGGTATATACAGGGTTCTGGTTAGATCTGAAGCATTTTGCGGCTATAGTGATCTTTTAAAAAATATAAATACCAGTTCTCTATTTAAAATTGTTTAACAGTTTATTAACATGTGGAGTAAAACCTTAGGATGATCTGAGCTTAATCCTCCAACCTCATTGCATGTTATTCTCCCTCTTGTCGTGCTCCAGCTACATTCAACTTTACTTCCTCAGAAGTGAAAAGTTCTTAGTGGCTGGGGCAGTGCCTGTGGCTCAAAGGAGTAGGGTGCTGGCCCATATGCTGGAGGTGGCGGGTTCAAACCCAGCCCTGGCCAAAAACTGCAAATTAAAAAAAAAAAGTTCTTAGTGGCACGTGCTGTTCTCTTTGCTTAAAACTCTGTTCACGTGGCTGGCACGTGAAGGCCTCTTCTTTAGGCCTTAAGTGATACTTCTCCAGAGTCAAAGGAAAGCATTAGAATAGATTCTGAGTCAGCTCAGCCCCCTCCCTTCTCCCCATCAATCACTGGTGCAGCATATTCATAACATTTACTGTGATTTGTAATTACATGTTTGTTCACTTATTTATTATCTGTCTTTGCTCAGGAGGACAGGGAGGGTGACTTTCTTTAATCACTCTTCACCAAGCTCCTGACTGGTGCTTGGCACGTGGAAAGCATTTGATAGGCTCGGCGCCTGTGGCTCAAGCGGCTAAGGCGCCAGCCACATACACCTAAGGTGGCGGGTTCGAATCCCCAGCCCGGGCCTGCCAAACAACAATAATGGCTGCAACCAAAAAATGGCCGGCGCTGTGGTGGGCGCCTGTAGTCCCAGCTACTTGGGAGGCTGAGGCAGGAGACTCGCTTGAGCCTAGGAGTTGGAGGTTGCTGTGAGCTGTGAGGCCATGGCACTCTACCCAGGGGGATAGCTTGAGGCTCCGTCTCAGAAAAAAAAAAAAAAAGGAAAGCATTTGATAAATATTTACTGACTGAATATAGAAATTTTTTACCATGGCTCTTATTTAGTATTATAGTTGGCTTTATATTGGTCTATTTCCTCTGTTACACTGTGAGTGGCTAAAAGGCAGGGATTGATTCTGTTTCTTACACCTTGCATGGTATGTAATACATATTAGGTTTTCATTAAATAGCTTTCCTAATGCAAAGTGCCCAGCATTGCTGGTTTAGTACCTGACTCACAGGCAGTAAATAATATTTCATTTAAAAACTTCCTTAAGAATTTAGTACCTACAAAATATATTCGCCCTACTTTGAATTTATTTATATTTAATAAACTTTTTTTTAAATCATGGTTTTCATTTAAAAAAGTAATTTTTCAGAAAGTAATAAGCCAGATATCTGTTGTCTCTTTGAATGGCCTCAGAGTACTAACTCATCAATATTGATGGCTTAGGGACCTAAAAGCTGAAAAATCAAATATTGATGAGACTTTGTGAGAGATTCCTGCCACGTTTTCTTAGTCTTCTCCTGGCTTTTTTCATTCATATAAGTGCTTTCTCCAGTTAAGACATAGAAAATGTAGATACAAGTCAAGATTGGCTGGTAATGAAATAGTCCTAAGAGGTCTAATTAGGGTCTGGTCATTTCAAATTGCAGTTACCTTTGTCTGTTTATGTGTTGTGAGACATGACCTAATGTGGCTGTAGAGTTGCAGAACAACTCAGACACATACCTCACTTCAGACTTGGTAAGCCCATAACTGCCACTTCACCTTAAGCTCATCAGTAGGGACTAATTCACAATCTAATCTGGAGGACAGGCAAATGGTTCTGTCTCAACATTTTTGTTTTCCTTGGACCTGGATGTACAATTTAAAGAGTGGTATATTCTAGGAATCTGCATTAAACGTCTTCCTTCCTTCCTCTGTTAAATGTGAGATTTAACCCAAAATTACTAGTTGAACATGTTAATTTTATAAGTGAAGCCCAGTTTAATCAAGGGACTTGTCTGAGGAGCTAGTGCCTCTGGTCTCCTTACTTTCAATTTACATTTTTTTTATTGGATTGACAATAGACAATTTCTTAATTTTTCTTGGCAGAAAATGCTTTGTGGTTATGGTTTCTGTGTTGATAATGAAAATTAAAAAGATGTTAATTTGATCTATGCATTTAGGACAAAACATGGGGGTAAAGGTTACATTAAAAAGGTAATCTAGTAATGTTAAGGAATACATTTCGAGTGTTTAAATGTGGTGTTATTTATAGCCTATGTATATTATACATTTATGCATTACAAGTGAGAAAAATAGAGGGGTTGAATTTAGGGATAGCTCATAGACTTCCCAGAGGCCTGTATAATAATTTCTGTCTTTTTGTCCTTCTGAAAACCAGAACCCCAGTAAGGAATGTGAGCCTTACCGAAGAAACAATGACAAACCAATTGCCCCTTGTGGAGCTATTGCCAACAGTATGTTTAATGGTATGATACAGATATGAACATCAACGTAGATATAGACATGTATAATTAGATAAATTAGGTATTGAATGAAGTATTAAAATGCTCTGTGACTTTCTTTTGAGCAAACACATTTTAGGAATGGATTTCTGTCTCTGAGAAGAAAGAAGCAAAAACATTTTGATAGCTTTCCTATTTTACACAAAATAAAGTAAAACCCCGGCTGTACAGTTGATCATTTAGAGCAACTCTGTCTGGTTGAAATATAATGTGAACTATAAGGGCGGATGGGTGGAGGGAGGGTGACTGGAAAGATCCCCTATATGGTCTGTCTAACAAGGGTATAAGTGAATTTTTCTAGAACTAGAGTATAAATGTTTTAACACAATAACTAAGTAAATGACACAAAGTCTATGTTAACCAGTTTGATGAAAATATTTCAAATTGTATATGAAAACACTATACTGTACCCCGTGTTTGCATTAATGTACACAGCTATCATTTAATAAAAAAAGAAATAAAAATAAATGTGAACTATAAATGCTACCCATGGAGGTAATTGTAAATTTTCTAGTAGTCATAATAAAAACCATTAAAGAAACCAGTGAAATTGATTTTAGTAATATAATTTATTTAACTCAATATGCTCAAGATACTGTAATTTCAACATATGATAGCATATAAAAGTTATTGAGAGATTTTATATTTTTTTATGCTTAGTCTTTGATATCTGATGTATATCATATATGGAACTTACTCCATTTGAACCAACCCTATTTCAAGGGGGCAGTTGTCATGTGTATCTAGGCAAGGGTGTCCCAACATGTGGGCCACCGGCCTCAAGCTGATATTGTCAGGACCGTTTTTGTTTTTCTGTGATGTCGGATGTCACAAAAAGTATGCACAGACATTTTTTTTGCTAATCAGCTTTATTAATGTTTATATATTTATTGTGTGGCCTAAGGCAACTCTTACACTTCTAATGTGTGGCAGAAAAGAAGAAAGGTTGGACATCCCTGCTGGTGGCCACCATATTGGATAGTGCAGATAAATGGAAAAGTTAGAAATTATTAGGAATGAATTATTAGAAGAGAGGACAGGCGGATTTACCTTGCAATTATATTTGGGTTAATATTAAAACATTTGATCTTAATCACATATAACTTAGCCATATATAAAAGAGAATTATAGCTCTACTGAGGCAAGAGAAGTCCATCTGGAATTACAAGGTTGCCATGATTAATCTACATACAAATAAAGAACAAATGTATTTTCTATGCTTACTTTGTCACATCCACTTTGGGAGCAAACACCACATCCTTATTTCTCATTGAGTTAAGTAGGTCCTATGGGTTTTCAGTAGACATTTAGTAAGATCTTCCTTTCTTGTTTTTTAGATACGTTAGAATTGTTTCACATTGGCAATGATTCTGACCCTACTCCTATTACTTTGAAAAAGAAAGGTATTGCTTGGTGGACAGATAAAAATGTAAAATTCAGAAATCCTCCTGGAGGAGATAACCTGGAAGAACGATTTAAAGGTAAGACATCCCTTAAAAAATAAACTAAAAGCCAGGCACGGTGGCTCATGCCTGTAATCCCAGCACTCTGGGCAGCAGAGGTGGTAGATTGCCTAAGCTCACGGGTTCCAGACCAGCCTGAGCAAGAGCAAGACCCCATCTCTAAATATAGCCAGGCATTGTGGTGGGCACCTGTAGTCCCAGCTACTTGAGGCTAAGCCCAAGAGTTTAAAGTTGCTATGAGCTATGATGCAATAGCACTCTACTGAGGGTGGCAAAGTGAGACTCTGTCTCCAAAAAAAACAATAAACCACTAGAAATTTTAATAACGTATTTTTAATTTTCTTTAGAATATTAAAAGTTTATATTTTTTAAAGCAACAGTAATAAATTTTCTTTCTTCAGCTTCCTACTAATGTGCCAATGTACTGAAATTCTAAAGAAAATGTGTACTTTTAATAAATAATATGATTTTTCTGATGTTTTCTTAGAAGCATTTCAGCTATACTCTTTTAAAACTTTAGCAGGGCAGCGCCTGTGACTCAAAGGAGTAGGGCGCTGGCCCCATATGCTGGAGGTGGCGGGTTCAAACCCAGCCCTGACCAAAAACTGCAAAAAAGAAAAAGAAGAAAAAAACTTTAGCAGAGTTTCTTTGAAACAAGCCCATATTATTTATTATGTAAATTTATTTTTGCTTCTATGCTACCTTAATTTCACAGTGTCACATTTGTTCACATTATATTAATATCCTTGCATTAAGTAATCTGCCTTTTTGTATAAACTAGATATCCTACTTTTAGTATTCTTTAATTGAGATATTAACCAAATCTTTGTAATTTTTTTAAGTTGTTCCATGAGGAAACGGTTTCTCTCTAGATTTTTTAGGTTTCTTAGAATATGAATATATTTATACTTTTGAAAATAAGAAAAATGCGCAGATGGTGTTTTGTACATCTTTGTTTTCGTAGACTATTCAGTGAGACTCATAACTGGGTATTTGCCTCCTCATCCCTTCCCTGCTCCTTTTAAAGATACAACAAAGCCAGTGAACTGGCTTAGACCAGTATACATGCTGGACTCTGACCCGGATAATAATGGATTCATAAATGAGGATTTTATTGTGTGGATGCGTACTGCAGCATTACCTACTTTTCGTAAGTTATATCGTCTCATAGAGCGGAAAAATGAATTACATCCAACATTACCAGCTGGACGCTACTATTTGAATATCACATACAGTATCCTTTTTTGGCTGTGTTTGTAGATTCTTAGAGCTTGAAAGGAATCTAGTCCAAATTTATCTGAGTTACACGACGTGTTACCTTGTGCTTTAGTTTTGATCTCTGTATTTTTACAAGAGTATGTGTGTATGTATGAGAATGTATGTTTTATATATACCTTCTAGACGTCTCTTAAATTTGTATATACTTTGTACTGATCATTTGGTGAAATTACTTAGAATATAGGTGCTTGATTTATTACTAAGCTAGCTGTTTTTATAGGGGAATTTGTAATTGAGCTTAATGCAAACACCATTGAGTGCCTAACACTAGATAAGTGTCAGTGGTACTGAGTTGTTTAAATATACTTTTTTAGATATTAAAAATCAGCAGAGGTGTTAATTCACATCTATGTAATTATTCATAATTATTGATTTCTTTGTAGTATCAAAATATTTTTATCATTAGATTGTTATACATTAATAACTTTAGGTTCACTTTCAATGCTAAAAAATATTTATTTCATTCCAACTATATGCCAACACTTTGCTGAGTACTCTCCATTCACTGTTTTACTGAATTCAAGGAGTAACACATCTCAGTGTTATAGATAAGAATATAGGAAAAAAGTATTTAAGTAACTTTCCTAGGGTTACACAGGTAATAACTGGAAGGGCTTCATATCCAGGCTGTTGATGCCAAAGGCCATGGCGGTACCATCATCTGCCAGCCTAGTTCACCTCTCTAGCTAGTTCACTTAGGAAGTCAGAACAGTACAAATCTACATAGGTGGAAAGTCTTCTTAGGAGGGAAATACTGGGCAATTCCTTTTATTCTGAACAGAATCCTTATGTCTTTTAATCTCTAGCCCATTTTTTATACATATTGTAAATGAAAAGATTCACAAATATTAGAATTTTAAATGTTTGCTGATTTTGTATCTTTTGTAATCCTAATGAGTCATAAGTATAGAGTTTTGGTTTTATAATGGATTAGTAAATGGTTAAGTTAATATACTCTATTTCAAAATAAGCTTCTTTTTGAGATCTGAGTCCCTTAATGTTCTGCTGTATACACAACTGAATATGGCCTGCTAGTGGCAGACTGAAAGTAACCAAGTTTTTGAAATTAGTCTCACGTAGGAGCAATTTTGGACAGACAAATCCAGTTCAGGTACTGGTAGAAAGAACATCCTGAGGCGATGGCCAAAATAGAGGGCAGCTCTGGTACAATTAGCCTCCAAAATATAAAGAGTAAGGGCTGATATCATTTTATAGCCTAGAACACAAAAGGGGGAAGTCTGTGAAACTCCAGGAATTCTTAGTTGACAGTTTGCATTCAGGAAGTCTGCCGCAGAGTCCCAGCACTGAACTTGTCATTCAGGAGGAATGTAAGCTGTCTTACAGTCTCAGAGATTGAGAGGGCAAGAATTTGGGCCTATAGAACATCAAAGGTTAAATTACCAAAAACTGGATATATAAGGTGTGAACTAAATATTAGAATTAAGCCCCATTTTTTTTTTTTTTTAGGATTAGGATACTAAGCAAGAGACTATCATGGATGACTTGATACTATATCCCCCAGAATGTTGGGTTAGTAGAGCTCTTAAAAATCTTTCCTGCCTCACATTAGAGTTGATGTAAGAATTAGCAGAACTGAACCTGCCCTTTGGAGTCATAGGGCCCCATCTTTGGGGACGAAATGTTGGTGAAGCAAAAGAAACAGATGCAGCCTAACTGTCTTCTCAGTGTACCTCTTGCCAAAATCCTAGAACTGGTTCATGTAGATAAGTCATCCAGTACTCAAACATCCTTCTCAGCTCACCCTTCACTTCACTCTGTTTTGTCTGTCCGCTGTGTCTTTTCGCTCCACATCAGCATGTTGAAACCTCAGTGTCACGCTGTTTGACCTGTGCTCAGAACCCTCTCAGTCTCAGAACTGCTTCTGCTACACATGCTCTTTGAGCTTGTGGACACTTCCAGTCCCTGATTCTTCCATTTTCTCCTTGTCCTCAGCCTCCTCTTCCTGGGTGGTTTCAACCCTGTTCATTTACAGTACTGTTTGACATTACATTCTCCCTCCTGTGTAATGGGAGCAAAAGAACCCAAAAAACTATATAACCCTTAAATTTGGTTGTATTGGTAAAATATTTTGACTTTTAGTAGTAACATTTAACTTGCTAATTTAGTCTTTTGTGATAATATAATTTTATTTTTGATTTAGAACGTATGGTACCTGTGCCTCATAGAATTATACAGATGAATTTCAAGCAATAAAATGCCAACTTTTAAAATTGTATTTTAAACATCAAGAAACCAGAGATGGAAAAGTCTTCCTATACCCTCTTCAGATTACCCTGTACATTCTTTCGATGGACGAAAACGGATGATCTTGAGCACTATTTCATGGATGGGAGGAAAAAATCCATTTTTGGGGATTGCTTACATCACCATTGGATCCATCTCTTTCCTTCTGGGAGTTGTCCTACTAGTAATTAATCACAAATATAGAAACAGTAGTAATACTGCTGACATTACCATTTAATTTTATATTCTGAAAACAAATCTACTGCATGTGCATCAAGGCCAGTCCTATTCAACCTAGCTTTCGAATGCTGACATCTGGTTAGTATGTCATTTTGAAGTTGGCGCATAACATTTTTTTTGAAAACAGTTTTTGTCCTTTGCTTTTTCCCTTTGGATGACCTATGAAAATATATGACGGGTATAAAAAATTAACTATATTGATTATATCAACACTGTAACTGCTGAAATGGCATTCTAATGTTTGCTTTTTATTGGGACAGGCCACGTGATGCATAGAGCCTCTTTCATGTGACTGCATCTCCTGCTTCAATGTTTATGCTGTATTGATGATATTATATTGACATATAGTGCTGTATATGTGTGCTCTGGTATGAAGAGAGGGATTACAGGATGTATGAGTTTAAAGACTTGCTGACCTTTCAGGATTCACAGTTACAGAAAGATGAAGAAAGACCAAATCTAAATAAAACCCTTCATCATTTTCATGTGTCGTGTGTAAAGGCTTACACTACCATGTGTGGTGAGATGGTCATGTCCTCAGTTTATGCAGTACAGTTCTTTGTCAAACTTAGCTTTGATTCCAAAGAATATGCTTCCCTTTGTGTCTGGCACAGGAATTAATAACACTGTGGCTGAGGAGTTCAGGGAGGTCCCAGGTAGGAGGATTTAAAATTGTTCTTCCCATGTGGTTCCAAAGTTGCAGGTGGGAACCTCAGCTCACTTGGAATGCTTTCACATGTGATCACTTCCCTTGATCCTGAGGCTTCATAAGGGAAGAAAATAGAAGTGAGATGGGAAAACTGTTGGGCAGACCTTCATCTGCTGCCTCAACTGTAAACATGTGGTTGCTCAAAGGAGACTTTGTTCATTCTTGGGGTACTTAACATTCAGCAAATTATTTCAGCATTGGAAGTATCTCATGCTGTTTTTATTTTGCAGGTAAGTAAAATTTTTGTCTTTACTCGTTATATTCCAGACATTTTTGAAAGTAGTAACCTTAATTTCTTTTGTATTTTGTTCAGTTTTTGCATATAGGTCAAATATAGATGTGTATGTATGTTCTCTTTTTCGGTTGGTTTTCCTAAGACATACTTTAAAAAGATATTCTATCCTTAATTAAATTCTGGGGGTTTTGGAGTATGTACATGATAAATGATAATATATATGGTTGAAGTAATTTTATTTTTTACTAACTGGAATTATTTTAATATTCCTTATTGAATAAATGCTACAATTTGTTTGCTATGGAACTTAAAGTGAATGTAAACTTATTTTTCCGTACGCATAACAATGTATTTATTAATCAGAGGTGGCTTAATTACATTGAAATGGCTTTTTTTTTTTTTAACCTAAAGTAACTCTTGTTTCTGTAGAAGAATGCCTGTTTTATTCAGAGTTTGTAATGATTTCCTTGAGTTATATTTTAAATCAAAAGGTCTGGGTAATGTATCAATTTTGATTAATACATACTTTTTAAAAAGGAAACAAAACAGTGTAATAGTTAATAGTAGAAATGTGCCACACTTAAGTTTTACATAAGATGAAATAGTTAAAAATACTTGTAATTCATAGTGACTTTTAACTGATAAAAATATTGCTTGCATGAAGTACTTGATGTATTGTGATCCTGAGATTTCTGAGTATATATATATATATATATATTTTTTTTTTTTGTCAAAAAATTTTCTTTCTTTTGTCAGTCCTTCAGAATGTTATTTATTCTGAAAATTGTCCCTCTTATGCATGGCAGTTTATTTTCTGGGGTACATCACTGGAGAAGAGGCATTTCTTCCAGTTTTTCCAGATTGAATTTATTTTGCTTTTTAAGGAGGACAACCATCCTGCATCTCTGTTTCTAATTGGGGGACTGAGATGTTGCTAAAGAAAAGTTGAAGAGCCCCTTTGACACTTTCTCATGGAGAAGATGGAATTTTAGAATTTATTTAGAGTTTTATTTATTTTACAAGTACATCGATGGCTTAAGTTCCCTGTCTCCTGCTACTTGAGCTCTAAGCAACTCCTGTTGGACAATGTGGAGAATATGGAACGTTCATGTGGCCTCTGTGAAGTATGGAGGAAGGAAAAAACATTTCTTCGTATAGGCTTTATGCTCATTTTGTTGGTAACATTGATGTCTTATGCAGCTTCTAAATAATCATTGCATTTTAAGGCAACTAGGCTAAGTAGAAGGCATTAAAGAATGCCTTAATCTACAGGACATATTATGACATATGAAGAGCTTCCCTGTTGGATAGATTATTCATTGAGTAAAAGCTACAACATTTCACTGAAATCATAAGGCAGTTTAAGAATAAACTGATAAAAAATAACACAGTAATAGAGAATTATTCAATCAAGAGAAGAACCAAGTGAATATTATTTGTTTATTGGTTAGGGACAGTCGGTTTGTAACCTTGATTATATTAAAACATTCTGTTAATAAGAATGAACAAAATTTTACTATGTCCAGACAACTTGCTAAATTAATAATGCCTAGAATTGTTGCTAATGTTTAGCACTGGATTTTAACCCAGAGTTGATGGGTCCAGGCTTAATTTCTCCATGATTCAATAAACATCATTCGTTGTTAAATTAACCACCATATTCATATTTATTAATTACTCTGACAACATTAACCATACGTTCTTAGCAGGAAGTGGTCAGATTTTCACTTGTGTTATAGACAGACTGGCTAAGTTCGGTATTAGATCTAGGGGAATGTCTAATAAATAGAGAGGCAAAGGTGATGAAAATAAAGTGGGCAGATGGGAAATGAAAAGCCTGGCTGGTGACGAGAATGGAGCATGGAGAGGTTGGGTTAACGAGTGCTCAGCCTGCTGCCTCCTGTCTTTGTGGAAGCTTTGCTTTAGAATTATTGTATGCTACATCTTTGTTGGTTAAGCTGTAAAGTTTTGTTCTCTGTGAACATGGCTGGGTGGGTAGCGGGAGTGCAGAAGTCCTGCTATTACAAGAACAATTTTGATGCACAAGTGTCTGTTGTACAGTTTGGCTGATCTAGTAAAGTGTTCATGACCTCGTTTTTAGTCCATACACCATTCAGTAAACATAAACATCACTTTTCTCCTTTTCTCCTAATGTAATTTGAAATTTCAAAATAAATATCTTGTCTAAAACTACATCAGACCATGGTGGCCTTATTTGCTTTCATATATGTATAAAATTTATTAAAGTAATGTGTACACAGTTTAAAAAATCAGACAGTAAGTTCAAAAGCTTTATGATGAAAAACAATAGTCCCTGCCTGAACTTGAGTTCAGATCCCTCCTGGACGTGATTACTTTGACTCCAAAAGTTGTTTCTTCTGTTATTCATCTCAGTGTTTCTAAGTAATACATGGATGCCTGGTCTCCTGTTGCTTGATACAGTTTCAGACATTATCTTCTTGGTAATGTTACATAAAAATTCAGCTCTAACACAGGGCCTCTGCCTTCTCTTTACATAGGTACATCACATTTAGTAAATGTGCTAGCTGTTATTTAATTTTTAATATATAATTGTATACTGTAGAGCAAACAGTGTGCCATGATTACATTTTTGCATAATTTAATTTTTTTTCTTTTGAGACAGAGTCTCTTGTGGTCTTTGGTAGAGTGCCATGGCATCACAGCTCACAGCAGCCTCAAACTTTTGGGCTTAAGTGATTCCCTTGCCTCAGCCTCCCAAGTAGTTGGAAATGTAGGTGCCTGCCACCATGTCCAGCTATTTTTTTGTTGCAGTTATTATTGCTTTATATGGCCTGGACCGGGTTTGAACCCGCCAGCCTTAGTGCATGTGGCTGGCACCATAACCACTGTGCTACAGGCACCAAGCCAGTCTTGTTGTTTTAACACTCATATAAATCCCTTATAATTTTTCCAGCTTCTCTGTCAGGTCTGCCATGGTCCCATCGCTGTTTTGAAGTGTTTTTACTAGCACAGTTGTCCTGTGCCAATCTGTACTGGTTGCTGTCTGGGTCTGCTTCACAGCACTTAATCCCGTGACCTCTCACTCTTGTGTTAGACCTCCTGTGTCCCAGTTTCTGCTCTTGCTTACTAGACCACTTTCTCAAACACAGCTTCCTGAGAAATAATATATGAACGGTAAAGTTCTCAGTTCTTACGTGTCTAAAATGTCCTTATTCACCCTCCCATTTCATTAATAGTTTGAATACATGTATAATTTTAAATTAAAAGTAACTATCAGAGTCTTGAAGGCATTGTTCCACTCTCTTCTGGCATCCATTGTTGTTTTCAATAAATTCGATCCTATCTTGGTCAGATGTTGGACTTCCTACAAACCAAGCTTCCTAGGTTGAAGCTTGGTTTTCTTCTGTTTCTCACTAGTTGTCTGTATGTTATTTTCTCTGTGCTTTTTAGGAGAATTTTTCAGTTTGATCTGTCAACATTATCGTTCTTCTATTAAATTTATAACATTTCTAAAAATATTTTAATTTCTAAGACGTCTTTCATTCTATTCTGTTTCCAGAATATCCTAGCCTTAGTTCATAGATAGAATATCTTATATTTTTGAGGGAGGGTGCGTGTGTGTGTGTGTTTGTGTGTATACAGATAATGCCAAAGGTGTACACATCTTAAGAAAGGTATTAAAATTGTAATACTCAAGACACATTTGGCTTCTGCCATTACAGGAGATACAAGATAACAGATGAAGGGCGGCACCTGTGGCTCAGTGAGTAGGGCACTGGTCCCATATACCGAGGGTGGTGGGTTCAACCCGGCCTCAGCCAAAATGCAACAACAACAACAACAAAAAAGATAACAGATATTCCCGGTATATATTGGGTATTATAATTTTGTTTGTTCGTTTGTTTGGCTTGTGAAGGGTTTTTGTTAAATACGTCTGAAAAGAATGCATATACAAAGAATTGAGACTTGAAAAAGCATTGCTTCAACACTAACATATCTACAAGAATTAGGATTTTGGGAAGGTGGAAAAGATTACCTAAACATTTTTAAAAATTGGAAACCAAACTAAGCTGATAAAATCCCTATTAACACTTATGAAAAGTCTTTCTAAGACTCTTTCCATGATTTTTTATTAAACTAGAGAGCCTCATCTGCCTGCTCTAGGGTTCTTCATATGCAAAACAGAAATAAGGAGATTCCCCTGACTGGTCCCCATGTTGTTAAGTGTTCTCCCCACCCCCACCCAACCCCAGCTTCTTCATGAAGCAGGCCTCCACCCTCACAACACTGAGAGGATGTGAATCATTCCATAGACATCTGTCTTCTAGCACCACCCCTTGTGTCCCCGCTACATGCCAGGTCTTCAGCTGTGGTCTAGGAACACCATATTATATACTACTGAGTTGCAAATCTATGCTAAGCATGTAAGACAATGACTGGCAGGAAAAAAACTTTTTTAAATTATGAACTCAATCCATTTGGTGTATTTCAAAGGTGCAATACTTTTCTTCATTTATCAGTGGAAGAAGTTAGAAATTAACTTCCAAAAAACATCAGCAAATGGCAAACAAATTTCCTTGCAAGTCACAGTCACATATATAGTGCATCCTAGAAAAGAGGAGGGGCAAGACAGGTTCCACCCACTTTCATGAATGAGTTTCATCAAAATACTGGATCTACTCAAGGGTGGAGAGAAAAGGCAACTTTCAAAAAGGAGTATGTTATTAAATGAGGCATTTACTACTACTTCCTAAGAGCACCAGATGGGGGACGTGCTTTCTAAACTAGATCTAAAAAGTGGAATGTGGAATCAATCTATCCTCCTCCCCTTAGGGCTGTCCACTGGTTAATGAATTAAAAAAACAAGACTAAAAAGCAAACCCCACACACACTCCCCCACAAAACAGAGAAAAAAAAAAAACGCCACTAAGACGTCCCAGATTACTCTCTAGAGTAGAACCAGGGAGCAGCTTCCACAATTCAAATTCGTCTGTTACAGAGTCATCACAGGCATGCCTTGCTTTAAAATAAAAAAAAATTTTTTTTTTTAAACAACAAAACAAAAACTAGTACTGATCACTTTTCTGACAATACACAATTACTCAAAATTAACTAGTCCTGGGAGGGGAAGGGGGGGGCATACCTAGGGGCCTTGTCTGACACGAGTACATGTGGGTAGATGCAGGGCATTTGTCATCATTGCAAAAACGAATTTTAATTTTTAATCTTTAGTTTGATTTAATCATTGCTTTTAGTCTGATGCTGACACCAGCTGTGCAGAAAGGGCTCTGGAGAGATGTTCATAGCAGCACACACCTGCGGCTCTTCTTCAGTTCTGGAGGTTCCAGGGTAGCCACTATTGCTTCATCAAATACATTCTTCAGGCCTTTCTGTGTAAGTGCAGAACACTCCACATACTTGACAGCCTTCAGGTCACGGGCCAGCTTTTCAGCAGTCTCTGCTGTGATAGGCTTCTGTTTGTTCTTGGCAAGTTTCTCAA